TCAATAAATATCGAAATTTTACTAAGGTAATAGAAGCTAAATCGCTCTGGAGCAAGGCATAAAACTACGTGTTAAAAGGAATGTCTCAACTTAGCGAACACCCTGTATGTATATCGTCTGTCTGTTATCAATTTTATTACACAGCGAATTTCCGAAACCTGTTGATATACGGATAAAAATTACAAACATAAAATTATGGCTAGACAACAACCAAAATTTATCTGTTTATTTCCATAAAAAATTTAATGAAGTCATCTCAATATTTTGCAAAGTAAATTTCACTTGAAATTTAGATTGTACTCTTTTATCTGTACTTTATTAATGTACTGATATTTTTAAACATTTAATTCACAAGAGTTACTTATCAGTCGTAAAAACATATTAAATTTACAGTTTGTCGTAAGACGTTGCATTCCTAATTTTAGAACTATTTACCTATGTAGAAAGTAAAAAAAATGTTATTTTATTGATTACATCAACAATGACTTATATAATTTCCTCGAAATTCTGAGAATACAATACTTTTGTTGCTACTGATATATAATAAGTATCTAATCAAAAGTAATATATATTTCTATTAAAAAAATTATGACGTCATTACGCAGTTGAAAGTAGGTATCACTGAATACATACACTCTAGCATGTTCTTTTGCCTGTAATTTAATAATCCGCCACTTTTTTTATAAACGTACGAGGGTTACCCCAAAAAATGGATAAAAAGGTGGAATCAAATTTTATAATTTACGTAAGAAATTGCACTAAAACTTTTGACAAGACACTAACTAGTACTGTTTTCATATGGCTACCAAACATTGATAAATTTTACTTATTCATCTTCATTAAAAAAAAAGTAATATTTGTTAAAAATTGGTCTAAATTTATTTACACAGAACTTCCTGTGTGTCTGGAGTATATTCGATCAAATATAGCTTCTTCACAAAATAAAAAAAAAGTGATTAATTTTTTTATGGAAACCCCTTTAAGTTAAAATAAAAATGTGTGTAAACTGTTATAATGTAAGTAAAGAAGCGTAGTAGTGCTACCCCCGCAGCTCCTGCATGTAACCAACGGCAAAAAATATTATCAGTACATGTTTAACTTCGAATGTTTGCATCTATTATTGCACATCCAAAGAATGCGACGATTAAGCACAGAGCAAGCTGCCTTCTCAAACCAGACGAGGCTATTAAAAATTATTAATTAAACGACAATGAAGCAAAACGTTCTGAATCTTATTTTGGATAAGTAGCTGTTATTATGATAATTCTTATTTTAATATTATTAAATATAAACCGGCTCAACATTGCTGTATTCTCAAATTTTCAAGACAATGGGGGGAATGGTTCTCAATTTGATCAATAAAAAACATTTTTATGGTACGACCACGGAGTTCATCAGTTATCATCAGTGCGCTGAATTAAATTTTACTGCTGCAATCCCCCAGTTGAATTAAGGTGTGTTTTACAGTGAGTAGTGGGGACGCATTGATCTGGTCCACAAGGACGGTATTAAGTAAAATTTTGAGACGACGTTACCAATCTTTTCACAGGAAATAAATGGATAAATTTTGATTAATGATTTACCATGCTTACGATAACGAAAACGTTTACAAGCTTTCACAGCATTCTGTTTTGCGGTTTCAAAGTGAAATTATTGCAAAATGTTATACAATTTTGATTTTTTCCCAAAATCGGCAAGTCTAAGGTAAAAAATTAACACGGATTCATAAACCACAAGTCCATGATTATATTACTTTATAAAATCTAAATAACATTTACTAGGTACTGCAAATTTTGGAGATGATATCATCCTATTGTTGGTAGGGACGACCAGATAAATTGTGGTGTTTTTTTTACCATCTGTATGACATGCTTAAACATACATATAAAATTTCGAACGATCGGTCAGTTTCGGAGATTATCTGTCTAATAAAAATCGACACCGGCAAGGATAGACAGACGGAAACGTGAGACCTACTTTCGATACTCCAAGAATCATAAAATGTCTAGATAACATAAAAATAGCCATTCGTTTGATGGACCCGAATACAATACTTCCTTAGCTTACGCTCGGAAGTAAAAATATGTTTTGTTGTGAAGTTCTACTGATATTTTATAATAATACAGTTTTAATGCTTATGACTGCTTATACAAGTTTTTTATTAATGTGGTAATATGGTATTTTAGTTAATTATATGGCTTCTGTTTTTAAGACTGCTTACAAAAATGATCCAAAAATAATGAATCTATAAACGGATTTATACTCGTACATGTTTTCAGTTTCCTCAGGAATGGTGCATCCAATTTTATTTCAATAACTACCCATCTAATTTTGCTAAAACTTGTAGAACACAGTAACGACATGATAATGTTGATATATAAAAACGATAAATAAATAAATATTTAATTTTAATAAATAAAAAATTTGCTTTGATATTAATTCAAAACTGATCTTGGTTTCTGGGGTGCTTAGGATTTAATTTCATATCAATTATTATATATATATAATTCAAAACTAACTGTGCTTCAGAAGCGAAGGAAGTGCTGTCTAAATTGTTACGTATAGCGTAGTGTTTGAATAAAGAATTGGTTTTGTTCGTTCCTAATACAGTGGCTCAAAAAGTCATTATAAAAGAAATGTGGTGGAAATCATCAAAGTTTAAAATAACTTATAAGTACGCTGTTTTAGAGGCATTCTAATTGTGATTACACAACCAGAATTTCATACATTGTTGAAAATGAATTTGTGATGAACACAATTATAATAGTAATTTTGTATAAGGTCATTAGAAAAGATCGTATATCAAGTTGGTTTTGGAAAGTCTTTGTATTTTTAATAAGAATTTGCCGCTTCATTGAGATAGGTACCAAATGTATTATTTGAACTAACTTATACAGGACTTATAAATGATTCCAAGGGGGTAGTTGGCCATCAATTTCAAAAATCCCGCTTCGCTGAAATTACGCCCGGGATAATTATTATGACAGTTCTCACTTGTCACATTAATGTCTAAAGTCATTTCTAACCTGTCATTTCAAGTAGCCATTTTTATTGTTTTAACATTATTCAAGTGCGAATTACAATAATTCTCATTGATCCAAGCTCAAAACAACAAAACAGTCGTTTTCAAAACTCTTGGTAGTTGCGTACGAAAATTTTGTTTTTGTTCTAGGAAGCGAAGACTGCGAAAATGGTTTCTTCTGTTGAATAAGACACTTTCATTGTTATGTCTTGTTATCACATTAAGATTAATTTTTAACTTCCTAAACGAAGAGTATGTGTAATCTGTAACCGCTTGTAAGCAAGAATATCTGGCCAAATACCGTGATTTAATAATGTAATCAACAGATTTGTTCGAACTGGCAGTATCAACAAAGACAAATCTCGTGGAAAACTTCATCTGACGAAATTGTTGATGATTTGAGATGACTTGAGCAGAATTGAACAATTGAACAACGGGTCCAAAGTATTGACGAAAGGATGTTACAGAACATTTTTAAATTAAAAAGAGAATGAACATGTGCCTTGAACAAAATAATGCACATTTTCAACATTTACTGTGATGTTTAACCGCAATAAATTTATTTCTTTTTATAATAATGAATTAATTTTATTTTCTGAAAACATATGGAGCCTTTAGGCAACCAGTTATACACATGTGTGTGTGGCTCATGCGTGATCTTTGTCATGCTTGCTTGGGCACTTAGTACGGATCTCCGTACCGTTAAATATGAGAGGCGGCACGTTTACATGACCTACTGCGACCCTATAATCATTTATAGAAACCCGGTATAATGTAAGCATGACAGGTGACAAGTTGTCATGTCCAAGAAAGCGGCAAAATTCACGAGATTTCAAAGCCGTGCGATGTTTTAGAATTTAGAATCACCTTGTGTGTATTTTACATGTGTTTTATCCTGACGCTAACTAAAAGAATTACTTGTTATCAGCTTATCCTTTCCTAAAACAGCTTTTTTTTCCTTGACAATTCAAGTAACTCAAAAGTGTTTAACCAGTCAGTTAAATTTTATCATATAATCATATTTGGGCAAACGACGGTAAAGATTTTTTATTGGCATTTGTTCATTAAATTAAAAATTTATTACGTTGTTATATGTAAGCAATATACTGCTCATATCAAGACCCGCAATAAGAATAACATATGTCCATAATGCCAGATAAAAGAAAAAGTCAAGATGAATATTACACGTGCTGTATTTTTTCAGTTTATAGTTATCGCTTTTAGCAAATCACACCAGTTGATAAAGAAGGTGACAGCAAACTCGATTATTTAAATGACAACTTTATCAGAAAAAATAAAACATAAGTGTGTCATATTTTATAGGGAATTAAAAAAACTAATTCTAAGAAAGAATAAAAATAAATTATTAAAATTCCCGGCATTATTAGTAACGTTTAATTCAGCTGCTATTAAAGAAAGATTTATTAGCTTTAAAGTGATATTTTATTTTCGTGATAAAAAAGAAATGTTTTGTCAAGGTTCAAATCTTTGTTCCTTTGACCGAAGTCATTCATACTTACTGATAGGATAGCAAAATAATTATTATTTATACTGCGCATTGCTCACCTCGACCTTTGCTTTCAGTGGACAATTTTCAGACCATATGCAAAATGAAAAATTCTATACTATGTAGTTACATTCAAGAAGTTCACATTATGATTATATTAATTATTATATGAATTAACTATTTTTAATGTTGTATTAAAAATAGTCACTGCAAACTGTTACACAAAGTATGCGCTTCTTGTGTTCCTTCTATCTTTGTATATAAATATGTGGTGCCATATGCAGTAGATAAAGTTTGCCGAAAAATGTTAATACAAGAGGCCTTATTTATCTATGTATTGAGTACAATTACATGCCTATGTTTAGTCATGCAGTCTAGATCTCCGAAACTTCCAGATTTATTGAAACAATTTTTGAAATAACGTCAACAAAGGGCAGTAATATTTTTATAAAAATATTTTCTATAACTTACCGAATTAATGTAGAGATCCCCTCCAATGTTTCCAAGATTGAGCACCAGTCCATAATACACCAAATAAACACTAAACCAAATCACAAACAAAAGCAACGTCTTTTTGCGCATTTGTCGCGTTTTAAACAAATCCATCACATTCACAGATTCAGTGTCACATTCAGTTTCACACGGTAGAAGTTGTTTATCAATATTGACTGGCAGCTCTTTTCTATTCCATTTCGCAGCCTTTTGCAAAATAATCATGACTTCATTCGTCCGTCCCATCGCCAACAACCACCTAGGTGACTCCGGAAGCACCCACCTGCAAAAACCGTCATGACAACCCTTATTTCGACAATAAAAATATTATTTCTACCATAAAATCAAAAAAATAAACCCAGGCAGGGAAATCGCCAGTTGTAACTGTCTCCAATCCCTCAACAACCATCCCATTCCTGCAATAATCATGTAACTCAAAGAAACCGGAAACAGGTACGATATTCCGGCCACGGTTCTCCAGTTTCCTCCAACCAACTCTATCGATAAAACGAATCCACTGAATACGACGGAAACTGAGATAAAACCCAAGGCTGCTCGCAGGATAAAATACATCTGAAACCATGGGGCGAAAGAGATGACGACACCTGCAAGAATGTATTAACTTGTTGAAAGTTTAATTTTTATGGAGGTACCGAGAATTGTTTGTAGGAGAACGGAAGCCATTAAGGTTCTCTTTCTACCATATTTGTCAGACAAGATACCGCAGACCAAACCACCGATTGCCACTCCACCGAGAAACATCATTTCGGATATATTGTTGAGGGTTTTTCGATCGCAGACCAGGTCGAATTCGGAAATGATAGTGTTTCCTGTAAAGTTTCAATGGTTATTGTTATGTTATTGTTTGTAAACTTGCTGATTTGTGTGCATGGGTTTTAAACTGAAAAGCGGGAGTGAAGTTAAAAATAACGTGCAATTCTCTACACGTGTATGCGGAAAATGTGACTATTACCTATATTAAACCTTTACTCGAGTGGATTTGCAGCACTTTAAATAAGTCCTGAATATGTGTACCTGTTTCATCAGTTCTCGACAAATGGATTTTAAGGTTTTGTTGAAATTTTGCAAAACATAACGGTCCCGCATCAAAAATTATTTTTTAATTTTATATTGGTATTCAAAAGGTTTTAGATTGGCAGCAAATTGTACATCTTAAATATGTATAGATTTTTAAGGAAAAAAATGTATGTCACCGTTTGTTCAAACAATTCTCAAAAGAGTGATGTTTTCCAATTTTTAAAACACTGCACTTCGTATACAAAAACTATTTATGCAGCTAATACGCGAAATGGTACATTTCAGTGTACGAGTTGATGTTTTTTTAGAGAGACGTTAGCTGAGGCATCAAATCGTTAGAGGGGCTAAAGATGTTTCGCAAACAAGTTACGCAAGATTTGTGGATAATTGCATTTAAACAATAATGTAATTTGTAGAATTGATTTATATTAAGATAATTGTGATTTTATACGGTGTCTTGCAACCTGAAAAAGAAGGGTATGTGTCTGTAGTAATTTATGTCTTGAAAGTTACACAACACTAAAAACGTATACATAAATCAAAATAAAAAGAAATCACATTGGCAGTGATGAAGTAAATGCCGGTATTTGAAAAATAAGTTTATGCAAGATTTAAATGGAATGGTACCACCGTAGCACAAATCAATGTGATCTTAGATTTTTGAAATGATTTATTACCCCAAAAGCACTTTGCATTTTTCAACGTTGATTGGACGTCGACAGGTGCTAAATTTGTTTGCACCAGTATTCTCGAGGGTATTCTTATTGTGAAAGGTTGTAAAGTGCCGTTTTGTTACTTGTGATTCTAATTTTGATTGGCTTTTTTCTTTATATATCTTAATAATAGGTGGTCGAATATTATATGGAACGTCATATAGCAATCTGTCAAAGGCACTACGATCAATGACACTATATGTCGAACTTTGGATGAAAGTCCTTGTGTTAATGAAGGTGTTATAAGATTTTCGGAATTGGGTAAATTCCTTAAAAAAAGAAAATATCCCGTGAAAATCAAACCGCAATGTTAACAATGATACAGTACGACCCAAAAAGTAACAAATGGTTGGTTTTCTTTTGCCGTTGAATAATATCACTGGATTTCCGTCGTCACATAATTTTGTTGTCAATTCCGCAGAAGACATTAAAAATGCTTTTGAAAAAGAAGTCACTTGCATAAATGCGTATGTATTTATAGCCCAACCATTAGTAGAAAACACACCCGCATTTTGCCTTGCAATTTTTGGTAGTAAGTAGATAACCGATTTCTTTACTCTAAAACGATGATAATACTTAGAAGCGAAGCATCAAAATATAATATTGCAATTTTGGGATTTTCTTCTGTTGGAGGTACGCGATGCTTAAAGGCGATAAAAGTTTGGTCCAGCTACCTACTAATCTCTCGAAAAATCGCGAATAATCATCAAAGATAGAGCTTCGGATAGAACCAAAGAGTAAAAGTTCAAAAAAGACAACTAAATATAACGAGGGTTAAGAAAACGTAAACCAATGAAATTCGCAAAGAACCGAACAAAGAAATCAAAAAAATAAGTTTCCGATACCTCGTCGGACATTGATTCCGAAGAAGCTTCGAGAGAGGGCGAGTCGGAGTCTAATTTGAGCGAATAATCACGTGACGAGTCATGTGTTTTCGATTGTGATTTATTTACAAGTATTAATTTTTAGATTTTCTTTTTTTATACAGAAAGAATTATTTTTGTCATTATTATGTGTTATATTTTATAATAAACTATTGTTACGAAAGAAACCCATACGCCGTCCCGGTACGACGCCTATGGGTTCTAATATTTACGGCAACGATGAATCATTGTCTGTGACGGCGGGCGAAGAAGAGCCTGGAAGCGGAAGTCGCGAATGGGTGCTCTGGACAAGTGTAGAAGCGGTGACGGAGGCGTTTTGAAAAGGACCGCGTGGTTTTTTAAATAGAGGTCAACGTCAGGAACGATCATTACTCAGTTAGCGAGTCCAGTGAATGAACTCAGACAAGTTGCGCCGGAGTTATTTTATACATAATCGCTATGTAAATAGTCGTGTAAATTTGAGTCACTACGAAATAGATTGTTGAGTTTTACTCACCCGTATATCGTAGCAATATTATATTTCTTTCATATACTATACCCGATTCTATACCTACATCGAGACCTACATATCTGAAATTCGTTGATAAAAGATAATTCTTATTATTCCATGCAATACATACGCAATAGTACGATAGTAGGCAGTACATTATTATTATTATTATTATTATTACAATATAAATACAGATTGAGACTGTTGCAGTCTATAGATCTGTAGAGTTAACAAATATAAATGGTCTTCTATACAAAAATTGAAATTAAATTCTATTATACAAAATTAAAATAATAAAAGAAGAAAAAAAAAAAAAAAAAAAGTTGGATGTGTTAGTTGAGTAATGAGCAATATTGGGCAGTATTAGGCATATTACTGCGCAATACATTCATAGTATGTGCAAAATAGACAGTATAGGCAGCAGTAGCCGTATTTCCGTTTTTGATAGCATATGTACAAATGTCGACTAGTGGTTGACCCCTCGCTTTTAAATATTGTATGTTAGGTGAAACTGTTTTGGTAATGAACTTATTTATCTCAGTATTAATTTTGTGCTTTCGCTACTTTTTCGTACTCAAATAGAAAAAAAAAACTACAAATATTTCTTTTGTCTTTTGTGTTTAATATAGATAAAATAATATTCAGTATGATACATTTTCATAACTGATTAAATTAAAATTATTTTCTTCAAAATTGGTACCACAAGTTAAATTTCAGGACTTTAACTAATAAACCTGTATGTAAAAAAACAAATTTTGTTATCCCAGGTCCAAATTCTACAGACACATAAATCTTTCATTTTATTTCGCACTCCAAGCCGATATTTGGTGTTCCAAATGTAAAGTTTTGAATCACGAACAAAAAAGTAGTATTTTTTTTAATAATTAAGTAATTCACCCGAAACAGAATTTATCAATTGATTATTATTGACAAGTACAGAAAATGTAACTTTTTATCTAATTGAGGCTGATTTGTATTTGTTATGGTTTTCGACATCACTATAATGAGAAAAGTGGCGATACCATTCTGTATATCTCTATCTTTTTTATCGAATTGTGTTGGTATATACAACAACGCTGGAGTTTATCGCAAGAGTACACATGGTAACACAAATCTTAACTTAAAAATAAAGTACCAGGTTAGGTAGCTTTGGTGTCAAGTACTCGAAAAATTGTTTAAAACGTGGCATCGATTACTATTACTAAGATATTTTTTTTTACAGGGAAGGAAGTTTCCAATTTCATCTAATGCTTTAATATAACTAACGTTTCGTGTAGACCTGGTTGTCGTTTTCAGTATTGTTAATATTTCACATAAATGACGAAATGAAGAAGTAATATTAAATTGAATTTAATAATCTTTTTGATTGGGTTTCGTCTACTAAAAAATATTTTGCTCGCGTCAAATTTAATCACCTTTAATTACTTACGTATCAAATTATAAGTTATAAATCAACAGATAATGTCTATGAAAGGTGACTATTAAACACTTTCTGCCGTTATCATTGATTTGCTTTCTACGGAAATTTAAAATTCCCTTTTTTTTAATTTTACGTGTAAAGGGGTAGTAAAGCGAAATTTTGAACTTATATAAAACCAAAGTTTACTTTTTAATTTAAAAATTTACAAATTACAAATTTATCTTAAATATTAGAAAATGTCTGATTCTAAATTTGAATATTTAACACCTCCTGATTTGAAAAACGCAGTGCACGAAGTTGCGCAAAATTTACCTCCTGAAAAAAGCAAAAATAGGTACAAAAAGGCCTACAAAATGTACCTCCAAGGGTATGCTACAAACAGGACCCACAATATTACGTCAGAAAGTGTGCAAATGGCCTATTTTGCCGAATTAAGTCAAAATAAAATGCCATCAACGTTGTGGACCACCTATTCACTGTTAAACTCGACGATAAATATTAACAAAAATACCAACATTTCCAAATTGTCCAAGCTGATGGCGTATCTAACACACTTAAGTGTGTAATGAATACTTTCCCTAGATACTAAAATTTACGTAATAATATCACTACATGTATGACTGACAATAAAGGATCATGTCACACTGCATATTTCAAACGACGTAAATATAATGCTGAAATTATGTCATTAATTTATTATTATTGACTAATTAAAAAGTTAAATAGATTGTAAAATCTAGAAATTGCAAAATATACTGCTGGTTTTATAGATAATTAAAAGGATAATTGAAAAAATTGTGTACAATTACTGTATATTTCTTCTAAGAAATAGAAAAACGGAGAAATCGAAAAGGTTTTAAGTCAGTTCATTACATATTTTCAAGTTTAATATTGAAGCGATAAAAAGTAACTATCACAGGTGAAGTTATTTATGTAACTAATGCAAACCGCATACTTTAACATAAAAACAAGTCGCTTCATTTGAGTTAGGTTTGAGATAAATATTTCTAAAAGTAAGAAAGAAAATTTTACAACATATACTACTCGCCGAAAAAATCGCAACACCAAGAAGTAGTGTTTTTATTTTAACTAAAGTTTGTGGGTGTCATTGTCTTAACAAAAGAAGTGCACCATAATATTTGCAGTTTAAAATTCGACGAACAACAACTGTAAAAAATTAATAATGTGTCGGTCCACCCCTTGCATTTACACATTCTGCAACTCGCCGTGGCATACTTCTAAGTAAATTATTAATATCCTCCTGAGGCAGGGATTCCCAGGCAACCTGGACTTCATGTCTAAGTTGAGCTAGAGTCTGTGGATACTGTGGTAATTCACCTAGCCTTCTGCCGATCATGTCCCACACATGTTCAATAGGTGATAGGTCCGGCGAACGAGGAGGCCAAGGAAGAATTTGCACTTGGGCATCTTCTAAGCACCTCAAAGAGACCCGTGCAATATGCGGCCGGGCATTGTCCTGCTGAAATAGGGCATCTTCGATGGTTTGAACAAACGGTATAACAACCGGTTCCAGGATTTCATCAACATATCGTTGAGCTGTCATAGAGCCTTGAATCATGACTAAAGGTGACCTGCTGCCATATGCAATAGCTCCCCATATCATTATGCCCACAGTTCGAGCCACATGCCGTTCCACAGAAAAAGCAATATTCCTTCGTTCTCCACGAAATCTTCTAACCCTTTGCCGACCGTCGTGCATGCCTAAACAAAAGCGGGATTCATCTGAAAAGACTACTGAATTCCACTCAAGATCCCAGCCTAAACGTTCGCGGCACCATTCCAAGCGTTGACGGCGATGTTCTGGAGTTAGCGGTAGTACCAAATGGGGACGATAGGAACGTAGTCCAAAAGACTGAATGCGGGTGTAAATTGTTCTCATCGCAATCGGCCGACCAACCGCCGCATACCAGTCATCTGCTATCCTGCGTGTAGACACATGTCGGTTTCTTACTGCCAATGTTCGTAGGTACCGATCTTCACGTGGATTCGTGCTACTCCTGCGCCCAGAACTTCTAGCTCGGTGACCTCTACCTTCCTCGTGCCATGCTCGCCAGCATCGCAATACAGTTGAAACATTTCGATCCACGCGAGCAGCGATTTCCCGAAATGACAACCCTGCTTCGCGAAGTCCCAAAATGCGACCTCGCTCTAACAGACTTAGTTGTTGAAAATTTCGACGTCTACCCACACGAGCCATTGTGACAGTACTAATATTGTCAGATAGCACAATAAAACACAAATTCCCATGGTGAACAGTAATGCAAAGAAATTATCAGTGCCGGAGAACAATAAGAAAGAAAAAATTTTATAAGCTTCCGTTTTCGGTAAAATCTGTTGTAACTTTTATCAGTACATTATCAAACATAGATACATATTTCCACAAAGTTTCATTAATAAAAAACCGCCACTTCTTGGTGTTGCGATTTTTTCGGCGAGTAGTATATGTATATCAACTATTATTGGAGCTTAGTTTTAGAAGAGTAGTTATCTATTGTTGTACTGGCATTCTTAACACGATTAAGGTTCTTACGGTTAATATTATTAATCGTAAAACATTAACAAATGATCGATTTTTTTATGTCTGGAAATATTATTTTATTATGATGATATATGACGTTTTTGAAGCGTTACGTGATAAAAAATAAAATAAAAAAAGAATTAAGAATGTGACACAAGACAAATAAGACAAAGTTAAAGTCCAAATAAAAAGAATAATGAATGTAAACGATGCATAAAAACGAGTGAATTAATGATGTTCAATGAAAAGTTGTACTGCAAGATTTTTAACATTTTTGTGTGAAACAATTGCGTTCGAATTATTTTGACTATTCCATGCATATAGGTTAAGAACCAATCATAATTGAGATGTGGCGTGGGCTTTTCGCGGCTTTTCCCATTGGGTCAAATATAAACAAATTAATTTTTTGACATTGTTAAAAATGGGTTTATTTGCCAACAATTCTTTCGTAGAAAGTAAATTAAAAATATAGAACAAAATTGTTTGTGATTATTGTGCTTTAGTACTAACTGCATGGAATAGTCTTGCAAAAAACAATTCGTAGGATGAATATTTTATAATTCAGACTTTTATTAGCTAAACTCAATTTGTGTTGCTCTCAGGAAATACCACTCGTTGCTGCACAACAATAAATCGTCTAAATTATCACAAATAGTTATCCTACTCATGGTATTACTAGGTACTGAAAATTTTTAAGCTATCCCCCATTTCAAGTGTTAATTTTTTGAGGGAAAGGTGTATGTAAACTATTTTCGGCTAAATTTTCTCAGTGCAGACACTTTGTTTTTAAACTTTGATATCAGGTGTCTTACTAGGCAACATGTAAAACTTAGAACGGGTTTGGCACATTATTAGTTCTGGTGTTAATTTAGAATTGCCACATTAAATAAACACGTCCGCAATTTTTGAAATTTTCGGTATTCCGGAAACAGTTAATATTTTTCTGCTGTAAGATGAGTAAGTATAATTTACACTTTGAAATCCTAAGGTTACTCAATATTTTTTTAACACACATAAAAAAATACAGAATACAGTATTATGACCATTTTTTTGTGACAATATGAAAACGTTTCACCTTCAAACAATATTTAAGCGTACAAAATCAACAATAAGGAGACTCATCTCAATAGCCTTATTCTTGCTTCATTCGCTTTCCGCCTCAAATGCTATAAAAAGTATTCAATTGGAAGCTATTTAATAAAATCCTAATTGTATTATATAACTCTTACCGGTTCCGCTCTGTGCCACCGGTATTTATTACAACATCATGCAAATGTTGTTCAAAACAAAACACAACTGTTTGCACTACTCCACTTTTCAGAAATTACCTTCGCCTTCAAATTCCCATTCCGTGCAGGAAACCAGTTCCTTATTCTTTGCAGCCAGGTAAGGCAAATCATCCTGAGTTATTCCCGTTAAGTCATATATTTTGCACAACCCTTCCGGCTGCGTATAGTTCTTCCACAACGAAGGCTCCACGTCCATGAACCCTTCCGTCCTGGCACACCACATATCTCTTTCCGCCGCATGGAAAGTGGGTACGAAAATGTGCCAAGTGCAAGGTATGTTGAAGAGCGAAAGAAGAAACGTCATGAGAAGTTGCCATCGCCCGAACTCTCCAATCGCAGTCGATACAACGTCTTCATCTTCTGCAGTTTTCTTCTTTGTATTGGACATCGCTAGAACAATCAAAATTAGCGGGTTTTTGGCACATGACCATGGAGCGTTGTGTAACGCACTATCAATTTTAACAAAAAAAAATCGCAAAAAGTCGAATGTCCCATTAATAATATTAATACGAGTAAACAACATGTGCGGCATAAAAACTCTGTAGCGTCATTCATTTTTCCCATGTGAAAATAAAATGTTGCGTACGTGTGTAAAAGGTAGTTTAGTTACAACTTACTTAATAATTTTTCCAACACCATGTTGAGACACCATTTTTTACCAAAATTTTACAAAACACTCTACTAAATAGTGGAGCGAGGAAATACTTTCGATACGACAAATAACTGCCTTATCTCAGATGCCACCTAAACGATAAGACCTTCTTTTTATCTTTTAAGTAATTATTAATAATTACTCGAGATGCTTATCGCAAGGTTTAATCCAATTAGCAGATTTTGCAATAGTTCGTCGGCTTTGTATACATGATATTTTGAATACAATCTGGCGCCGTTTTTTTTAAAAAATTGATATTTACAATCAAGTAAAGTATTTGTTACGTAATCTCTTACAATGCATGTATCAAGGAAATTTGGCGTTCCATTACAACGCTAGAACGTGAACTGAATTGCTCCACATTGTGACCTTCTAATTGATGTTACATAATTTGGCGGAATTGCAATGGAATTGGTAAATTTTTGATACAATGAACCCAAATGTGAAATCGTAATAAATTCGGAACGTTATGCTGGTGTTGCTGTTCAGCATCAAACGAAACACATTGCTCTGACGGTTTAGAAAAATCATACTCATTGAAACTTTTAGCACGACCGCCGAAATAGATTAAAAATGCGTGTTTTTTATAACAGACGGAAATATACCTACCGAAAAGTGTTCCAGTGAAACGATTTATCCAGTAGGTTTTTAAGAAAACCATTTTAATTAAGAATTTCTCCGTTTCAATTTGAACACGCACACTTACAGGAATTAATCGTAACAGTTTTGCGATGTTGTTTGCTCTTAACGTATTTGCTTCTGAATTATAAATGTGCGCTAAAAATGTTACCATTTTAATTAACAACTTTCTGTACCAACGTACGTTAGTTTGTATAAACTATAAAGTAATACTGTTACCCACTTTACACGTTGAGTTTTATTTGCAAAAATGCATAAATTCGGAGCCATTACTGCTATCAGCAATGTCACACTAATAATAAACAACTAACCAGGAGTCATTTAGACTCATAAATGTTTAGATAAAATTGTTTTAACATTTTTGTGGCGAAACTAGTAGATATACGTAGGTATAAGTAAATATTTGAAATAAATAAAAATAAAAATTATTTACTTAATAGAATACCAATTTTTGTTGATTTTGCTTTAACGTTTTTAATGATCAGGTGCATAATTTTGCACTTTTCTTAAAATAAACTTGAAAAGAAAACCCAAGATTTAAACTTGTTGTAATTTAATTTGAATATTTGTTTTAATTAAATATATATGACTAGACAGCTTTTTGGTCATGGAATGTAAAATAAAATTGGAGACGTTAAATTAGAAAACACTTCACTAAAAATCTCTCACTATTTTGAATAGACAATAAAATATAAGGCGTTGTTTAAACAAAATGGGGAAGACGTTTTCCCAGTCCAATCATGTTATAACTTCGTAAAATTTTTGAATAAAAAGCTTAAATATTTCTTAGAAGAAATAAATTCTTGTACGTTTCTTTCAAAAATGAACCAAAATTACGCATAAGGTATTATCAGAAAGCGTTTTTTATCTTCCTGTCTTTTATTTAACTATTTTGAGCTATTGGCCTCAGCATTTCATAATTCATAGCAATGTAATTTTGTCATTTTTAAGCACAATTAACCTTATAAAAATGTCATAACAAAATGCTAAACATTACTTCTTTTTTTATAGGAAATTGTAAATACAAATATAAAAATTATATCCACACTATTCAAAAACTCATGCCCTATACATAATTTTAACCAAGATTTAAAAATTTTTTAAAAACTATAGGGGTTCTAGTTTCCACCAACAAAAAATTGACACTGACAAAGTTCTACTACGATCACGTGTTTTCTTAATGATTGGGTACGTGTTGATTTTCTTTCTAAGAAAAACCTCACATTATATGAAAACTATATTTTATATGTACATATGTATCTATTAAAACAATCAATTAACTGAACGCAGTTCTAGTTATTTTATTTACGATAAGATACGACATAACAATAATTTATAAAATCAAGTCTAATCTAGACTGAAAAATAATTACAGTAATTGTTGTTATTGTCATTTTTAGCCTAGAAACCAATAAATCCTTGAGAAAAAGGAACGCTCAGCAAAATCTGTAGAAAATTTTTGCTTGACCCAATTTGCGCGATTAATTTTTGAAGATCACAATCAAGGATTTGCGGAAACAACACATGTTGACAAGGGTAACCTGAATAAATAATACGTATCTGTTTTATGAGCCTTGACACTTTCTCCTAGTATGGTTGTAACAAAATATCTTATTTTTCTGATAAAGCTAATTGTGTAGGAAGGTAATGTAGTCGAGATTGCGAACGTTTCCTACTATTTTGAGAGTTGATGTTAATTTCAAGTAATTTTCAAGTCGATTTATGGCACTTTAATATTTGGTCATACATTTACCAAAAAATTACACATTTTGGACACTTCGAATTTTTAATAGATAACATCTTAAAAAAAAACGTTAATGCAGGAACTTTTATAGTATCTGTTTCAGAGCCAAAAAAAAATGCAGAAAAGATGTGTAATGACCAGTTCATTGACTTTTATCTACAATAATTCACAATTATGACTTGCGATAATAATTACTGTTCATGACGATGGAAAAAGTGGATATACACGCTTAGCATAATTTTTAAGCCTCAATTCCTGCAACTTTGTTAACGGAATAGATGCCCATATTTTGCGGTCTTCTTGACCTAATTAGTGGAAATGACCTTAAAATTTACGCATTACTCATATACAGTTTCCAAGTAGCAAAGCCAAGGATCAGTTTAGGATGTTTTATAGTTGTCATTAAAATGATTAATTTTGTCCCTATATTACATTAAAAAGTCGTACACCTTTACCTAAGACATTGACATAGCTATTAAATTTTGCTAAAGTGCTTTTTGTGAGGCTGATTGAAGGTGAAACTTTTATGACACGACCTTTAATAAAAAAAAAATGTTATCCCGATAAGTTTATTATGCACAGAACGTAGATTTATTTGTTTCAATATGAACTTAATGTGAACATATGGTTAATTTATGTGTATACTACAAATAATGAAATTTTAATCAATGGCGAAATACTCTTGTCGGTTATTAGGTTGTTATTTTATTTTTAAAAGTTCATTAGTTCATTTGATATCAGGACTTATCGGTCATTTCGGTCTTTATTAGAACGCTTTTATTTTATTTGGCGTCGAATTTATTTCAGTTTATATTTTTATTCAATTAACCGCTCGTACTTTTATCATTAATTTATACATACATGGACTAATTAATGTTTATGTGAACAAATATTTAAATTATCAAATATAGAAATAGCTAATTTACAGTTGTTGTTTTTTGCTGTTACATTTTTTTATGACGACAATTTTGTTGCAATTAATAATAATCAGCCTTCATCACATTTTTGAACATATATTATCAAACCTTGAAGAGAAGAAGCGGTAAAGAAGTGAATTATATACCTATTAATTAATTCGTAGCAACAACATGTTTATAAGTGGTTAGAGAAATTACATTTAATTATATGTATATAGTAGTCACAGTTGCATGGTATATGAGAAATAAATCCACGTGTCATAAATAACTTTGATAATAATAATTAAACTCCGAGAAATTGTGGTGGATATTTACAGTGAATCTGTATCTGGAGTTTTTTTAACTGAAGTGTTTGTACTTTAAAAACTGTTTAGATGATCTAAATTTATACCTGACAGTAAAAGCAAATAAATAAATGTTTTAAATTTAGAAACAGAGTAATTTTAATACATTTTTTATCGAATTACCTAACTATTTATTTTCTGTGTTACAAAGAAAAAGATGTAATACAGGGCTCCACAGTTGTGCAGACATTACTTATAATAGGAACTGAGACATGTGTAAGATAGGAGATAATTGATATGTATATTGTCGTTTACATGCATATTGTATTAATTATATCATTCTTACTCAAAATCTAACTTATTTTCTAGAGATTTTAAATATAACTAACTGTATATGGTTAGTGGAACTTATTTAATAAACTTTGTGTAATGTCATCTTGGAGTAAACTTATTCCTGGTGCATACCTTGGGTGCAGTTTGCAACAGAAAACAACAGGTTACAGTATACATATTTATAGATCACATTCCCAATGAAAATGAACCCACCTTCTACCGCATAACTGAAAAGTATTTTGAATTTTTCGAGGTTAATCAAGTAAAGAATGAAGTAATATAAAAAAAATAAAGTTACGTGCAAAAAATAAATACTTCAGTTTATCTACGTGTATTGGGGAAGGCAGGTAAAGTAAGTATGAAGAGAAAGTGAAACCGAATTAACTTGAGTAAGAGTTTCTTTACTCTGTGGTATTTCGTAAATTACTTCTTGGGGTTACATTCTAACTGATATTTTTGTGATATTGGTAAATCCAGTGTAACACTATACTGCTGGACAAAAAAACCCGGACAGCTTCACATTTGTAACTTTAACGCTAATAACATGAAACTTTGAAATTAATTTTGAATAAGTAGCTCGATATTGATTTCTGAACATTTCTCTATAACTTCCCTTCCATTGTTTTCCCCTGGAACTTGTAAAATCATTTTTTCGAATTTTTATTTAATTTATAAATAATAATAATTAATAAATATTCAGATAACGGTTTTTTTTTTCTGGTTACCACGGCTGCTGCTATTATTGTTAATGTAAAAATAGTAGATCTTCATGATGATGGTTGCAGTGTGCGCTATATTGCTAATGCATTAAATTTCGTAAAAAATACTGGGCATTATGCCCTAGGGCGATCTCAAGAATTATATTATATTATATCTGGAGACAAGGTTCTGGCTGAAAGACGTGTACCACAGAACTGGAAGTTCGATTTATGCTCTCTTACATTTTTAGAGATTCGTACAACATCTAATACCGTGGCACAGCGATTAAAAAATTCGCTTGGTACTACTGTTTCTACAAGAACAGTCTGCAGAAGACTACTGGAAAACAATTTATCATCTCGAAGCGTGCAACGGATCTAAAACTGTAATAGTAACGATAGCAAAGTTTAGACCAATATGAAAAGTTTCTCTTCTCAGATGAGTCAAATTGAATTTAAGATGCTCAGTGCTGCTTTAAATAATACTCTATGATGGCAGAGGTGTTAGCTACGGTCTGGGGAGGCATATCATAGAAGCTTGCACAGATTTAGTAATTATGGAAAGAAGAAGCATAACAGCTCTAAGATACCGACTGTTTAGTAGACCATATTGTACCATACGCACCCTTCGTTGGTCCGGATTTCATCTTTATGCACGACAACGCCCGTCCTCGCGTCCACATATCGCGAATATAGTAAGGGATTATTTGGATGAGGTTGGTATCACAAGCATGAACTGGCCAGTACGTAGCACAGATCTAAGCCCTATAGAGCATGTCTGGGACGAAATGGGAAAAGGCATTAGGAGGCTTGAAAACGTTCCAGGAACAATTCAGGAGGTGCAATGTGATCTTCGAGAAGAATGGGAACAGCTGAATCAAGATGTAATAGCCAACATCATCCGAAATATACCACAGCGCTTACGTGCTGTAATTGAAAGCCGACGACGTAACACCCGATATTAATCGGGGTACCTACACCGTTAGAGTGTAAATTAGAACGCATGACATGTTTAGTGTTATATTCTGATTTTGACTTTAATTACTTTTTTTATGTTTCCACATGTTATGGAATAATGTTATGCTTTCTGTTCATGAATAAATTAATGTTTTGTTTTTTGGAATATTTTCTACAAAAGTTATCTTTAACAATTGCAGGTAATCATAAAAAATTCAAATATTCGGGATTTTTTGTTCACGAGTGTATTATTGGTAACTTTATTCATTTATTTGTTCTTCTATTAATTCGACTCATATGTATCTAACGTGATTGAGATATGTAATAGGTTAGATCCGTAAAGAGATATATAACAAATAAAATTTTATTTTTTCCAAAAAAATTAATATAACAAAACAAAAATTTTATGATATATAAAAGACGATAATAACCTAGTGAAATTATCTTTATTTTCCCAAGTTATTATTATTAATTTTCTCCACAAATTTCAAAATTTAACATAAAAAATTATCAGTATATTTGGAATTTACTGACCTCCATTCATTTAATTTTAAAATAAAGAGGCAGTTTCATTTATTTAAAAAAATACCCCTTAATGAAGGGATTGAATGGCAGTGAATTACTCAAACTTTGATAAATTTCATATAAAGCGGAGCAAAAAAAAAATGTTTAACCTTGTTATTGTCTTTGGTTCCCAAAGCTGTGGGTCAACCTATACTTTTTGTCACTGAAAAGTGACGTCTATTAATAGAATTATTTTGTTTAAATTGTTGTTGGTTTTAAATGGCATAAATAATTACAGGTACAATTAGATTAGATCACTTCCTCAAAGCAACAAGAGTGCAGTTTATAATTTAAACATAATAAGTGATTTTATTTAATTATTATTTCAAAACTACTTCCATCTTAAAAAACTAGACGGAAAATATTCTGCACGAATTTTAATTACTCTTCACACAAAATAGTGTAGCAGCACAGATGATTGTTAAGAAATCAGGTGTAGATTATTTCTTATATAGAAAATCCACATTCACAGACTTGTATAACACACGATCAGGAAAATACAATACCTACAGTTATGTAGGTATGTGAAAGATGTGTAATGAAACCGGAGGCTAATACTATGTATATTTTTTTTTATTTTGGAGACGTCAAGATGTATTTCAGGCAAACTTCAAAAAGTTAATATTTATATTTTCTCAACTGTGTAATATTAAATTTGTTGTGAGATCAGGCTTAAGAACAATACCTTAACAAGTAGGAAGACTTTCACTAATAATAATCAGTAATCACGTTTATAATGGAAATGTAGTTAAAACTGCAAACTCAAATGGATTTTTTGCATAATAGTTTTGAAACAAATGTCATTTCTTTATTGAATGAATTTTGCAATGGAACAATTATTTTAATAATTAGTAACCTAAACACAACATTTTCAAACAAAAATTTAAAACGCCATAGCCAATAATTTTTTATTACCTAAAAATCCACAAATGCAACCAGTCTTAAGTTAACAGAATAAAATATCCTTTTCAATATTTTTTCATCTGTAAACAATGCGAAATAAAATATACTACACACAATTAGTCACTCGGCTAAACGTCTCCTTGTGCTGACTTTCTGCCTTAGATAAAATCATGTTTGTCCAGTAAACAATAAACGCATCTTTCTATTTAAAAATAAAAATTATTAAACTGGTGAACATATTTGACATTATCAGTTAAAATATATGACTCTTTTTTTTCTAAGAATCTAGCCTCTACATTTTCAGCCTGAAATTTCTAACCTAATGTCTTTCAGTCGAATATAATGGTGAAACAAGATCCTCGTTTCCGGAACACTTGCCATGAAATTAAAAAAAAAATGTTTTGCCAACCAAATAGAGTCATGAAATATTTTATGCTGACTGTAGGCAGTTAAGATACTGCTGGTTTCTGATTCATAAAATTTTTGATAACATTTTGATACCTTTATCTATTTATACCAATTAAATTACTAAAAAATTTCATGGTTATTTCAGCTATTAATTTAAAAGATAATCATTTTTACTTGACACGCTATTCCTATATGCTGATAGAAACAACTGTTATATTTTTCGTTTTAGTCGTATTTTAAAACATCTAGATTAAAAAACATATATACTTATTTGACAATCTCTGGGTTTTCCCGTTTAATAAAAATAAAATACTTTGGAGAAAAGAGATTTGTTTTATTAATCTTAATAAGTGCTATTTTGCTTAAATAATAGAATTATTTAAATACAGAATTTGCGAATGTGGGTTTTTCTTTACTAAATATGTTAACAACAAGTGCACACCATAATACAATTACACTGATAATAACCAGACATCAGATAAGTAAATTAATTAATTAGTGAATTACATTTTATGACACTTTAAAACCAAACGTAAACATGTCTCATCTGAACTTTTTTAAAGAAATAATATAATGCCATCTTGCAAAATTTTATAAATTATTCCATGGAAATATTTACTACATCTTTAAATAAATAAAAAAGACTGAACTGAAACGGTGTTTTTCACGTAACGTATTTTGAAATACGCTGTTTCGTATTGCGTCCATCCACAATTAAAATAAACAATTATGTTTTGTCGCAATACGAACATACCATTGCGTCAAGCTTATTACCATCATGGACAATTCATTATGAAAAACAAGATCTTGTTTTTCACACCAAAGTTTTCATTTCTCGTAACAGTAGTATTTCCTCATAACAAAAATAACTCAAAATTCATTTCTTTTGGTTTATCATATCGCTGCACTTAAATCGCAACAATAGCAGCACTTGTTAGATTAATTTTTAAAAACGGGATTATCCTTCGTCAAGGTAACTGTCTAGTGACTTATTATAAACCTACTGATAGTGTTTTATTGTATTTAACTTTAAACAAAAATGACAACATTTTAAACAGCATAAAAAATTGTTACTCAAAACGTTTCAAAATAGACTTTTTGGATCTTTTTGTCGGTGGTTCAGTTACCTGCCTTTCGTATTTCGTAGCTCCGTCACAATTTTTAATTTTTAAATTTGTGCATCATACCTTAATGAAGTGAAGTTCCAAAAAATGTAGTAACTAACACCGAAAAAGCGAATAGTTTATCTCATACCCCAAACCACCCCAACTTGCACCACCTCACTTACGAAAATATTCTTTATCCGTAGTCCAGCACAGGACCATGTTATACCGATTCGCGCGTTGACAGTAACTGATTATGATTTTAAATGATGCCGGCTTTTAATCGGAAGTTGTTTGTTGAGTGGCGGAGCACTAGAAATGCAGCCGCGGTGCTCCTCTACCGTGTGTTAAAACGCTGCAGCGGCCTCCAAACCCCGGAACAGGTTGAGAAAGTCCGCAAATTGAACTGCCGGAAAAGCGAGCTTTGCTTAAGACGCAAGAGCTTCGCGCAAGGATGTGGTGCACCTTTTCTAAAGACGTGACTTTGATATTTACGCTTATGCAAAAATTAGAATTTATTGTCAGCGTTTTCAATGAAAATATATTTACTGCATGAATACACACGGAACAATAGAAATATTTAACTGGATTCATTAACAGCACTAAGACAAAACATTATTATTTTCTACCTGTTTAAATGAATTTCCGAAACTGACATTTTTTCACAGATGTACTCACAACGGTTTCCACAGCTTGTCTACTGCAATCCAGGAAGACTTTTGACAAATAGGAAATAGGTCATATTTGTTTATAAATGGAGGTGTTTTTAAAAATAAATTTATACGTAGGTAATGTATGAAAATAATAAAACAATTTTTTTCACATACGAACAGACCTCCCAAAATTAAATAAACGGATGAGTAGTTTTAGGATATATTTTGTCAAAGATGTTTGAACAGATCCACGTTTATATTACTAACATATTTCACTGAAGTTAAAGTACTGTAAACTAAAGTAAAATCAATCAATATCTAATATTATATTTTATGTGTTTATCTGTTAATGATTTTGTCAGACTACTGAACTACTAATCCAATTACGATGAAATATTTCAAGTACTACGTTAACTAAAATTTGCTTTTTATCTGAGCTAACAGTGTATCCTTATTTTTAACTTTGCGATGGGTTGTCTGCAAAAGAAATTTAGAGCATGAAAGTTTACTGTGTATCTAAAAAACATCCTGTCCTAAAAACCAAAATGTCATTTCAAAAATTTTGTTTTACTACACAATTGCTCCGAGATATAGTGTTATTCCTGTACATTTAACACCTTTATTTAACAACGTTTGTGTTGCTTGTATTTGAAATTTCTAAATTATGTATTTTACAAAATATCACATAAACCTTTCTTCTCTTTTTTGAGATAAAGTACAATGAACTTTAGAAATTGAAAAGATTAACACAAATAAAATAAAAAAAATCTGACGTCGGTACGGTATTAACAGATTATACGATTTAATTTTGTGGGTTAAATATTGTCTGCTCTACATAGCATGTTCAAAAAAAATTGAATAAGCATGTGAAGGTATTAAACGTCTTGTAAAATTTTGAAAAAATGTGTTTTCGTTTATTCTTTTTTTGAGCACAGGGCACAAGATGTTTCAAAATATTCACTTTGTTTAGTAAATTATTGATGACCTTACAACTAAGTATTTTTCAAATGCATTTTTTTTTTGCTTACCGAGTGTAAGTTAAGAAAATATTGTAATTGAATTCTCCGGGCAATTGGCTACTTTTATATTTTCCCGATAGGTCACGACCCCTAAAGTATGCAAAAAGAGGTCTCCCGTTTCTGTCTGTCTGTCCGCCGTCTGTGTCGATTTTTGTTACACAGATGATCTCCGTAACTACTAGACCGATTGTTGTCAAATTTTATATGTGTATTATGAATTATATAGTATTCAATGGTAAAATACTGACCAAACTTTGTCTAATCGTCCCCATCAACAATATGTCAAAATTGTACGTCGTAAATAGGTTTTAAATTGTGTACAATAACATACACCTACACGTGTCGTTTATGAATCCGTGTTTAGTTTTTCCCTGAGACATTCAGATTTTTGGAAAATAAATCAAAATTGTATATACAACATTTTGCAATTTAATTTTGAATCTGCAAAACCGACTGCTTTAAAATCTTGCAGCCGTTTTAAAGTTAGCATGGTAAATTATTAATCAAAATATATATTTATTTATCTCCCCAAAAAATTGATGACGCAATCTCAAACTGTTGCCGAATAAATCCTGTCTAAAACGTACAAAACATGATGAGATCTACACTTTATCACGACATTAGAATTGCTTATACAGGGTGTCAATTTATTTTATTGATTAAATCACGAACGGCTCACTCTTTTCTGAAAATTTGGAAATACAATATTGTTGTTATTAGTATTACAGGGCATTCACCCGAATTAATGTGCGTGTTTTGTAAAGGAAAAATTCATGTGTTAAAATCATTTCTTCCATTGTGATCTAGTAGTCTATTATTTTTTATTCCAAAGTTGTAAAAATGAAATTTTTGCACTAAGAATTAAAGTTTACAAACGTCAGCTTGTCTAAATCTACAAGTGTTTCTAATCTTAATTTCAGACTGTAATGATTCCTTTGATGTTTGATACCCAAATTTTGAGATATAAAGATATTATTGACCTACAATTCTAAAAAAATACTTTTACTATTTTAATTAACAATTTATTATTAAAATATTATAAGATGTTATTTTACTAATCTTGTTTATAACTAGCTGGTACTATAAGACAACTTATTCGTTAACTACTTATACAAAGTAACAGACTTTGAAATATATGAGCTTTAGTATTAAAATATTTATATATTAGTATAGTAACAAAATTACTTGTATACCTATATGAGAGTTATTGCCATTTATTTTTTGTTGCTTTCGTATATACAAATATGCAAATTTTGCAGAAAAAGTTTGTGTTGTTAAATATTTTACTTATTATTTAATAATCCTATCAAGCCCACGACTAAATTTAAAGCTCGCCGCCTATGAGTGTGGATGCAGAATAATCCATGTTCGGCTTGTATTTTTAAACTTGTTTGCGTCGTTCCTTCCCAGAAGTAACTTTTAACTGACCCATGAAATTTTCATTCGCAATTTCGTTCATATTCCCGGATGGGGCGCCTCCAGATCTGGAGGACCTAGGAGGGTGGCAGGGCATTAGACTACTAATGCAAATTGACGTTTCCGCTGTTCATAAATCACGCGAAGGTCTTTAAACGGTGGCAAAGCATGTATCCAGGAATAACAATTGTCTCTGATTGTGTTTTATTAAAGGTTTTAATTAGTTTAAATTAAATTAAATAATGTAGTGACGACGTGTTTAATATGCAAATTAGTTCATGTAAATAGCAACAAATTAGATGTAATGAGGATTGAGTGGAAATGTTGAAAATGCAGTTTAAAATTTTGAGTAGTGATTTTATCGAATATGGAATTTGTGATATTTCTCAAGGCTACTTTAGACTAGAGGGTACATGTTCTAGATTATTTTCAGTATCGATTACATCTTTATTAATTTATTAAGAAACGCATTAATTATTTAAATTTATTGGGATAATTTTTTGCGAAGTGTAGCTTGCTGTTAATCTAATTTGTACGTTCACTATGAGTACTTGCTTGTGTAAGGACAAAAAACAGATATTTAAACAATATAATCATATTTTAAGCTTGTGTAATACTAGGAACTTCTTGTATCATATTTTTAGTCTGAACTTTTGACCTTCTAATTTTAAAGTATTCTTTACAAAAACAATTCTTAGCTGAAATAATAACAGTAATAATTTGTGCAGTTGCCCTTCATTTTACGTAAAAGGTTCGTTTCAACATATGCAGAAAAATTCCAACACGTTTCGAGAAAAAAACAACATTTATTAAAAAGAGGCCTTTATTGAAAGTAAAAATGATAAATAACTTTATCCTTGCAGTTTATAATTTAACTGTTTTTAGGTACCAAGATAACAGAGAATGGCCGCTTTTTACTAGATACCATTTTTAGGGTGGATTTATGTATAAAAGCTGAGAATATGGTGGATATTTCATTCTGATTAACGTTTTAAATTTCTGTAAATATATGGGTATGTCAGAATAATAGTTATTTATGTGAGCATCAAGTTTTCTGACCAAGCGCTACCCCTGTTGGTAAATCATGTGAGGGTGTTAAAAGGAGATATTTCCTGAACAAGTTACGCATAGGTTTTTGTTTATTTACACAAGTCTATATTATTAACGCAATAGTTTGGTAGAATTTGTTTATCCTGATTGACTACAGTTTCCTGATCTTCTTCATTTTATCATGGGTATGATTTTATAGATCACCATTTTATTCCCTTTTCTATTATCAAATGAGTGAATGTATTCTCAGAACGATAGCGTTCAAAATATTAGAATATGATAATCTAATTTATGAAAATCATTTCAAAACATTAGGAATATCTCATAACATTGTATTAGTATGTCATCGCCAACTACTTCGAAACTATTATCTGAAGATTAGGTGATAGGTATTTATATAATTTGAAATATTGATTTCTTATAAACACATTAATGGTGTTTAATAAAATAATAGCAATAGAAATGATAAAATTGGTCTAATGTTACTTCCCTTCCCCCTGAAGTGCGGTACAAGAATATCCAGCTTTTTTGAAAAATTATAAAATTTGATTTTGCAAATTTGACAACAATCGATACAGCAGTTTCGGAGAATAACTGTCTTACAAAAATCGACACAGACGGCAGACAGACAGACGGAAAAATGAGACTTATTTTTCATAGTCTAGGGATTATGACACGTCAAGAAAACATGAAAGGGGCCAGTCATCAGAAAAACCTTAGTACAATGCTTCTTTAGTTTACGTTCGGGAACTAAAAACCACGTAATAAGGCAGTCAAAGCTTGGTTATAAACTTAAACATAAAAATAATAATTGTCCCTATTAACTTTCGTATTATTTTGATAACTATAATTAAATTTACTGTTACTATTGTGATAACAACTGATTGAAACATAAATCATATTGCGGTTTATATGAGGGTCGACCTACTGTTTTGAGGGTATTATTATTAGTCTGAATATAAATAAAATTAATTGGACGATTTTGTAAAATACAAGGTAGTAACACTTAATTACAATGTGAAAAAAAAACGAATTAGAATTCCCTTTGATAATGTGCATTGTAGTTTATTGGTTTACAATAATATTAATAATGATTAACGTGTTAACATTTTTTTACAAAATTTACATACATCAAATACAAAACACAACAGTTAAATTTAGACATTGAATTTCACTACAAATTCATTCAATTTTTTTCAGTTTCATTTTGGATTGAGAAAAATCATGCATAATTTGAAACACG